GCATGTTTCCTTGATGAAAGATTCTCATCTTGGTATATTACAATCCCGGGGTAAAGAAGTGCTACCAGTGCCTCTAGTCTGCCGGGACTATAAACTGGTGATGTCATTTCACACCTCGGTTTGCCCTTAGAATGATTTGACATGGCGTCTAACCAGAGAACCACTACGGGTGGCCAGTTGCCCGCAAGACTTGTCCTGGCTGGTCAGTTGGTTGAGGTTTCTTCGGGATTCACGTAGTGGCGGGAAGAGTAAGTTGCGGTCTATATTTCGGGATAAGTTCGGTGTTGTTGCCGTATACCTGGAGTGAGTCTGTCGTATGTTGTTCTCTTATGAGTGTGACGGATAAATGAGACGTTTGCAGGGTTAAATGGTGATGCATGAAAGGTAGATGATATTAGATAGCTCGAGTACTTGAGCAAAGTGCACGTATACTGGACCAGATATCCGATATAGGTAAATTGCCACCTGCGTGTAAGAAGCACAGTGGGGCGGTGATGAGTCGTCACAAAAGCTTACCCAATGGTTGAAAAAGACCACCGTAAATAAGCCAACATGGCAAGTGTTCACGTAAAGTACTCGACATTAACTTGTCCAGCTCTTCCCGTATGGTCCTATAGTGATTTCAACAGACAGACCCTGGGGACCCAGGATATATATATATACTTGTGTGGGTCATTTCAACGTGTTATAAATAATAATTTGGTTAGATAAATACTCAGGGCCCATATAATATTAGCAGCGTAAATTAGTATTTTGTATTAACAAAATCGAATAGGCCGTTAAATTTTGGAATTACCCATAACCAATTCTGTTTTTCAGATTTTTAGCAAATGCGTTCGTTGCCTACACATCTTCTATAGATATTGTCGTCTTTGTACACTTGTTGCTCAAATTTTATAATTAGAAAATTATATATAAAAATGTTCTTGGTTTTTTCATCTAGTGTGTAGACTCAGGCATAACATATTGTCCGCTAAGAAAAATAACAGAAAAACAAACTGCGAGTATTTGAAAGGAAAAGAGGCATTCGACTTTTTGTTTCTTTTTTGCTTTATTTTGTGTACGAAGAGGGCTACGAATACGAGTATATGATGACCGTTGCCAATTGTTTGACGTGTTCTTTTCTTGATCGACGGTAAAAAATTAAGCGAAACAAAAACTTGCTCATGTCTACGTAGGTTCTTTTTTCGTAATTTCAATATTTTTAATCAAATAAAAACCAAAAACAAATTTACATTAATTTAAAAGATTTAACAGCAGAAAGAAAAGAAAACGAAAAAATTATGTTTTTAAATGCTATAGTACCAAATGATTTGTTTTATGCCACAAATTATTTAATTCTTCAGCATATGAAACGTCACATTAAATAAAGAAAAATATTGAAATGAAAAAAAAATATTTTAACTTTTGGCAAAGAAACGAAAAAATACGTTATTTTCAATAATTTTTTTTTAAAAACCGAAAAGAGATAAAAAAGCAAAAATCGAAACTAAATACTGAAAATAGAAAAAAACTACAACAGCTGTTGAAGGGGCTATGAGTCGTCCGACGACTGCACGATGAGTACAAAAATCAAAAGATACCAACAGAGAGCTAATTTTATAAAACATTTGCAAAATTTTAAATTAAACACAATTCATTTTTCTACGAGTAAAAAGTCTAAATTATTAATATATATTTTTTTTATTTTATATTGAAAAGGTTTATGTGATTTTGCTTTAAAATAGTGTTAAAAGAACTTTTATTGTTTATATGTATAATTAAATTCATTATTAATGGCATAAAGCACAAAAATATTATTTATTTATTTTTTTTTTTTTTTTGAAAAATATAAAATATGAACATAGATTTCTGATTTCATTTTATATAGGTAGAAGAAAACCTTGAAGTCTGACATTTTCTTTTTGCTCGAATGAATTTAAAGAATTTTTTTCTTGCTTATTTTTTGTCGAAATCTTTTTATATTTATTATGCTACTCGTATAATTTGTGACTGATTGTATGTACATGCATAAATTTCGAAAGGGATTATACCCTACATGACATTGAAAGTTTGTTGAAAGATTTTGAAAACATAAGTGTATACATGTGTATACATCTGTTACCCGTAGCGCCCATTAAAAAAATTTAATTTTATATTTTAAATATACATAAGTATGTCAATATTTTTGTTTTTCATTTAAATTAATTTTAAAAACAAAAATATTTTCAGTAACCCACTTATTTTGTAAAACACTTCTCTCTTCACGTAAAAAATAAACTAATTTATTCGATAAGTAGTTTTTTTTTTAAGAAAGTTCAAAGGTTTGTTAGATTTTATATAGAAAACATAAAATCTTATTAAAAAAATCAGGTTTAAAAATGTTTAACTTTCTATAGAGAACTTTTCGATATCTTTTCTACAAAAAACATTTCAGTTGTCTTTCCAAAGTAAAATTTCGTTGAGATTTATACAGCAATTTTTACTATACATTTTCTATTACGAACCTGTTTTTAAGAAATATTAATAGGATGGGTAGTTTTACTGATGTATCCATGAAGAATTCCAGCTCAAGGTCAATATTAAATTCTTTTAGGCAGTGATCTTAGCCCCGGGTCAAGTCTAAAGGCAGATATCGCTATGGGGACGGATGTGACGTATTATGTTGGTAGTCAGACAGCATTTAAATCTTTAAAATGTCAGAGGAGATCTTGAAACATTAATTGGGATGTTGGCAATAAGGTTGTGTTGGGATCCAGGGCACAGTAATATACAGGGAAATAAGACGGCAGATAAATTGGTTAGGCAGCACTCAGATTTTAACTTTGACAGGAGTAATAGGTCGGGAAAATGTCCTATTCGAAGAAGATACCGAAAATCTCTTCTATTAATCTATTAACCGATCCAGGCATAACACCGTCCAACACCATTTTTCACACACGAACCAAACATATACATACGAAAGCACATAATTTATGTGGTATAACTGCGTACCTAGTTTTTCATTTTCTGATCGTTTGTCCTTTTTAAAGGACTTTAAAATTTGAGGTACATACAATTTTCAAAAATTTTTATAAAATATTTTTAGCGACCCTATTATAACAATATGGGTATCAAACTAAAGAGGACAATTGCAGTATTTATATCTCGTATTTTGTTTTATTTTTTAAGAATAAAAAGATGTAAAAAATATCCTTATAAAAGTTTATCCTTTATTATCCTTGAAATTTTATACAAAATTGTTCAACAAAAAATATTCATAATAAAGACATTAGAATGGAGTACAAAAGTCTGAAATTTGGTCTTCTTAGCTAAATTTGTTTAATTTTTATAATTTTTTTTAAATATCTCAATAAATAAATTAATAAAATTTTCCCCTCTGAAAATTTCAAAGTCCTTTTTTTGTTAAAATATTATGTAGAAAAATGAGAAATTTGATATTGGGGAACCGAGTTTCTTTATCTCTATGATGAAAAGTTAAAAAAGTGGAAGCTTTGAAGAATATGAAAGGATAAAAATTGATTAAGGATATCTTGCATTTTTAATCCTTTCATGTTAAAACTACCTTCTGGGGAAGTATATTTTCCTTTTTAATTTAACACAATTATTCCGAACTCTACAGTTATTCTAATTTCTATATATCTTTTAAAAATAGCTTTGACCTCCCAATAATGTTTTCGAAGTAGTTTATTATATAGTTTTCATTAAAAATACAAAAGGGCGAAGGTATATCATGTGCAATTAGTAAACCACGATATACATAAATATTTAAACAAGTAGGAAAGTTTAACCGGACTGGGCCGACCATTTGATACCCTACACCAGTTGTTTATTTAAAATGTGATTTACTTTAGCAAATAAAATATTTATGTTGAATTTTATTTCAATTGCGACATATTGATGAAAAACTAATTTTCTGAAAGTGGCTTCATATAGGGGCTAGAGTCAAATATAGATTAAAGGCCTGCACCAGAAAACAATAATGCGACAATTTGTTAAAAAAATATCGTGTTTATAAGTCAATTATGGAAGTTCAAGCCATATTTTACTATTATAATTTATATTTATAATAATATTGCGCTTATCATATTATCCTGAAGTGGATTTTAGAGTTCGGAACATGCATGTTTTAATCACTAAACCGTCATAATCACACGAAATAAAATTTTATATATTTTAAGGTCTGTTATCTCAACATCCGGTTATCGTTTAAATGGTAGATATTCTGCCTGAAGACTCAATTTAACGTTATTACAAAAAATTAACAGACATTGAGATAACAACTCCATTAAGCAAGTGGTATAAATAATAAATTTACAAAATATTTTCAACAAACATATTTTTTAATTTGAATATAACTTAACTCTAAAATTTTTTTACAAAAAACTAATAAAGATAAGAACATTAAATTATGGATTCTGGAACTCCATATTAGTAAATTTGTCATATATTTTTTTATAAAAAAACTGACTATAAAAAATAAGGATATGAAAGGAATAAAATTTTAAAGGACATTTTTTTGGTTTTTTTATTCTAACATTTTAAAACTATTTTATTTGTAAAAATACTGTTGTTCTCCTCTTTCAGTGGATACCCATATTGACCCACTTTTCAAACTTTAAAGTCCTTTTAAAGGAAGAATCGATCAAAAAATAAAAAACCGAAAATATAGTATAACTATATCAAGTATGTAGTTTCGAACGTATATGGTCTTGCTCATGTGTGCAACAATTTTTCCCAATTTGTTGTACGGTGTAATAGGAGAGATTGTAGGGTATCCAAGGCCTTCTTCAAAAAACTTTACAAATTCTCAACTTCTTCTGATTCTGGAAATCCTGTAGTAGAGTAAGTAGCGATAGGGCGTAAATATTCTATTTTAGTTAATATGATTTGAAAATCCATAATTGAACCTAGATAACATAAAGTTAGCAAGATCCATTTCGCTAAATATCACGCAAATGCAGTCAATTTTTTAAGGTTTACCTAAAAATCTAAAAAAAGCAACAAATCTTACATTTATATTAATTTCGTTTATTTATCTAAAATACTTGTAATAATTATTCGTAAAAAATTAACTTAAAATAAATGCCGACTAATAATGCCTTAAGCATTATTGCCCATCTCTTTCTTCTTCAAACGGGTACAATAGTAACGATCACTATTTTCAATCCAATCACATACATTCGAAACAGTATGGAAAGCTAAACCTTCTTTACATTCAAACTCAATAGGTTTGCCATGAACACAGCGATAGTACTAAAATAATTAATAATAACAAATAATTTTTATTTTATTATTGTTTAAATTTCTTTAATAACTACAACTTACCTTTCTACAATCCTGATGTGGCACGAAATCTCTATGAGAACAATCAATATCAGGGTGTTCCATAGGTTGTCCAACTTCTGGTTCATCGGTTATAGGATGTACCATTGGTACACCTTCTGTAATTGGTTTTGTCGTAGTTGTGGTAGTGGGCGGTTTTTTAGTGACTTTCATTGGTTTCTAAATTAATTATAATTTTATTATGTTAAATTAATTGATTTAATAATTAATTCGATAATAGATTTAGTATTTGAGTGTCTTAAAGAAAATTTTTAAATATAGAAAAATATTCTATAACGACAGTTCTAAAAATAAAATTTCTTTGTATGAAGAAGATATTCACTTAAGACAAAAGAGTTATATCTACAAAATTTGCTACACTGAAAATAATAAATAATATATACGAAAAATTTCGTACATTGTACGAATGCTTCGCTGTTTCGCATCACGAAATTGTTTCGTAATATATACTAAAATTTTAAAATTAGTTAATAAAACTTATAAATCCAATTTAAAGTTAATTATAATTTTTTTAAATTATAACAGTCTTATCGCAAATGGATGATATTTATGTATATATGTAGTAGTGTTTAAAATGTTATGTGTTTTTATGTAAGAAAATGTAAGAAAATAAATTTATCAAAATGTAAATTTTTATTAAATTTATTAATAGTTCATTTGTCGCATGTTTCTATAATTTTACACTACAGTCGATCGCTTTGGACCTTTAATTGTGATAATCATATGTAAAAATATGTTAGAGAAGAAATTTACCATTATATTTTAAATATCAACCTAAATTTTAGACCCTAGTTTTAGTAAAGATAAAAACTTATAAAAGTTTATTACTGTGTGATCGTTTATAACTTTTTATGTACTAAATTATTTTGATATACTGATTCCAGAAATCAATATATTAATTTATATTAATTTTCATGATAATTTTAAATTTGTGTAGTTCACATGTTGTGACTAAAAATGCTTTGCCTTTCTACGTTTTATATAGGGTACACTTTTTGGCAATAAAATTAAATACTAAATAAATTATAGTGATATTAAAAATGTTTGACTAATTATATATATTTTTGTTATTGTCACAAATAGGTATAGTTCTATTTGTGACCATTTTATAAAATTCTAATCCCAACCGAAATATTCTGTGTTATTTTATTCATTATAGTAGAAAAAAGTAACATAGGTTCTAAATGGTGCAGAGAATGGACAATATCAGTCCAATCGAAAAATATGTAATTGAATAGAATGTCCGTTCGACATTCAAACAATATATTTAAACATCATAATATATATTCGACGATTACATATTTTCCCTGTGAAACGCGACGTCCTAACCTAACTAACGCGAAATCGAAATATCTATAGTGCCAAGGAATGATCAATGTATGGAGCGAACAAAAAATTCCGATATATTATGAGTTGCACAATTCAGGGGACCGATTACCGAAAGCAAATTGTATCCAAAAAAGTCGTATCATGCTATTAGACGCATGATGAGGGTAATAGTTGGAAAGTTTTGTCTCACTCATCTTAAAGTCAAGAGGTTGCCCAAAAAGATATACGAAATTAGTTTAATAAGTCCTTGGCCTAAAGAATTGGTTAGGAGCCGATTCTATATGTTGCCAGTAAGTTACACGTTATAATATCGAATCCAACCCATTTTATGCTTTTTTATTGAACTACGACTTTAACCAACAGCCTATTATATGGTCTGATAATTTTGGCAGAATCAAATAATTTCCATAAAAAATAAGTTACGTTTTAAATAATACCTTTGTTGTTGTAGCTGGTGCAGAGGGTCTTTTTGTTGTGACAGGTTTAGGTTTTCTTGTTGTAGTTTCTAAAACAACCAGACTGCCCTCATCAGGGTTTGGTGGTGTTGCTGGCGGTTTAGCCCATTCAGGCTAAAAGTATCAAGATAATCAAATTGATAATAAATTATGAAACTATAAAAATAATTATTATATTTATATATATGTATACCCAGCAAAAAGACTTGTGCTTAACAACTTACTTTTCAATGACTACTACATACCGTCTGCATTACTTGGAAGGAGTCTAATAACGACTTACAAATAATATAAATGTTATTTTCAATGTATGTAAGTTTTTGCTGGGTATATGTATGTATGTACAAATATTCCATATATGGATATTAGGGTGGCTTCAAATTAAATTTAGCAAAATTTGGTTTAATTAAAAAATGTTTTTTACCAAATATCAAACAGCACCAACAAAAGTTGAAAAATTAAATTGCTTACATAGAATGCACAAATGAAGCCACCCTAATGAACATACATACATACATCATTAACATAGATATTTTATATTTTTGGCATCTGCTATTGTTTCTTATCTTTGTCATAAATATTTTCAAAATTCATACACCATTCTCTTAACAAACGACAACTTACCCTAGGTGTAGTCTCTCGTGTTGGCTCAGGCACATTATAATTTCTCATACTATCGTGGATAATGTGCATAAGTGCATTTTCGCGGCCACACAAACCATGAAAATCATCCATATCAATGGCCCAGACCATAGCACCAGCATAACCTTTCTGCTTAATATAGTCCATTTTGATTTGTACCGATTGTTCATTCTCATAACCCACCCATTGGGTATCGCGATAAGTGTATGGTACCTTGCCCTCTTCATCCCACTCAACAGTCCAACCATTAGACTTATCCTTAACCTCAGTACAGATTTCGTAGTAAGCCAAAAAACCACTGGCGTTTGTGTAGGGTCCCGGAGCACCACCTCCAGCCTCTTTGTTAATATAGGTTCCCATGTTGTAGTTTTTGTTGGAACTGCTTAAAGTATAAGTTCTACCATAGAGTGGCACACCCACAACTAGTTTATTGGCCGGACAGCCCATTTCTTCCCACAAGGCCAAACCATCGTTAACATTCAGTTTCTCATAAGCATATTGATCATGTTTACGTTTGTACAGAGGACTGTGTGTATCGGCAAAACCAGCCCAATTACCACGTAAATCATAAGTCATAGCATGTATGGCATCTAAAAGTCTACACAAGAAATTCAATATAAACTGGTTTTCATTACTTAGCTAAAAAAAATCATCTTACTCGCATAACTCTGGCACATGATAACCTTCTTGCAAACGGAATTTTGCCACTGGAACAGCCATGGTGATCTCCCAACCCTTACCCTCTCGCTCGAAAGCACGTCGCAATTCTTGTACATAGTACAAGAACTTATCCTTATCACCATAAGTACCACCACGATCTGTAGCTCCGGGATACTCCCAATCCAAGTCGAAACCATCAAAATCATATTTCTTCATAAAGTTCACTATACTGCGTATGAAACTAAGACGACGTTCTCGTACCGCCACCATTTGTGAATATTTAGAACCACCTTCAGCCCAACCGCCAACAGCGATTTGTAACTTTAGATTAGGATGAGTTTGACGTAATTGTGTAAAATTACGGAAACCATTATCTTCTATATCTAATGCAGGATCAATAACAAGTACTTCCCATGACTTGTCATCGACGCCAATAAATGAGTAGACAAGATGTGTACACAAATCAGTAGGTATATCTTCGATGCCATAACGTCCCAGTCCCGGACGATAAACTGCCCAGTTACTAAAGTAGCAAACAATACGTGCAGGTTGATCAGAGGCTTTTGTTGGGGCCACTGTTAGGGCAATGCCCAACAGTAGTAGAGGTATAAATGTAATAAGGCTTTTAGCTAAAAGGGGAGGGGTAGTAAGAGAAAGTTGATTTTATAAATATTTGCAATGTTCATATTACAAATGCATCACAATTTGTTAAATACTTTCATACTTATGAGTACTTATTAAATCGCATTTAATCTTTTATAAATAATTCTCTTAATAAGATTATTCTAATTTATATATTTCCGCATAAAAATAAATTTGCAATAACTTGCTCACCAAAGCTGAGTACATATTAGGGTGATCGCCTCGGTTTTTCAACCGGTTTTAAAACCGGTTTTTTCTGCTTTACCAGTGTCGGTTTTTTCTAAATGTTGATTTTTTAAAAACCGGTTTCGAATACTTTTATTTGCTTTGTATTCAAAGATTACTTAAATTAATTTTTGAAGTAAATAATAATACAGCCCGTCTAAATTTTAAAAATATTGGAGTACAGGAACTAGAGTATATTTTTCTAAAGCACCTTTGTTTAAACTTTTTTGATTTTATTAATTAACAAATTTTATTTGTAAAATTGATTGGAATAACTGCTTGATAAAATTTTACCAATCTTAAGATTATATTCCTATAACAATAATTAATTTTCGGCTGAAATATTATGGAATTGTTGGAATGCCTATGAAAATTGCCTAAGCAGGGATTTTAGAATAAGCTAGGATTACAAAGTTCCTTATGTTTAACAGAAGTGTCCCACTTTTTTCCTAATTTTTTTATATTAAAGAAATAATGTAAATCAGACGACTAGATCTAAAGTTATAATAAAATAAAATAAATAAATAAAAGTTATAATCTTTTAAACTGTTAAAAATCAGTTCGGGCCATGTTTTATTTATCAAATTTAAACATAAACGTTAATTTTTTTCAAATTAAAATAGATTTTTTATTTATAATGAAAAACCGGTTAACCGGTTTTTTCTGAATTTGAAAAATATCAACTATTCGAACTATTCGAAAACCGGTTTTTGGAAAATGTCGAATGTCTTTCCCCTAAAATGTCGTCACAAAACAGATTAAATTACGTTTTAAATTATTTTCACTAATCCAAGTGTTATTTGGTGTGCAGATTCCGAATTTGGAAACAAAAAAGTCGTATCACCCACCAATTTTCAACATTTTCATCATTTAGTTCTCCTGAAAATTAGAAAATTCTTTAATATTACAGAACTGGTGACACTACGGCTCTGAAGGCGATATACAAGTTATTACAAATTCCTCCGAAATATTTCAATAAAACTATGTCATTTCAATAAATATTAGCGCATTCACTTAAATGTGAGTTTTTAACCTAATAAGATAGCGTGAGACGTGTTTCGGTTATAATCATAAATGGGAAACCCTTCAGACGGCAGTTTCAAACTTTTAAAAATTTTGTTAAGCAAATTTTAAAATTTTAAGAAAATCTCCATGGGACATAAAATAGGACAATAAAGAAGGAAATAAAAATCAATTATGTCGATATCTCTGCCAGAATAGCGGTACCAGCGATTTGAATTTTGAGGATTTCGGAGAAAACCATTTTTTGGTAAAATTTTTGAAAAACTGGCTTTTCAGAATATGTATATAACTAAAGATAATAGGAAATATACATACATCTGAAGTTTTAGTAAAATCGAATAATGTTAACCCATAAACTGTGAAGGTCAAACTCAAGCTATGCAATATTGGGAAATTTTCTTGAAACCATAGTGAAATATTATATTGTTTTCAACCGATTTAAATGAAACTTATGAAAAATTTATAATGAAGTCTCGTATTTATGATGACATAGAATTTTTTCGAACATTTTTATAATTATATAAAATGTCCGTAATATATGAACAAAATATTAAATGTCATTTTGCGACAAAATGGTGGATGATAGTGAAAAACAGATTATATCAACATATGTATGTTGGGAGCGTTGTTATTTCAGATATTACATTCCTTAGGATCACACATTTGAATATTTAAGGAACTACTTATGTACATTATAGTGTCCCGAGGAACACTCTCAATCGATACGCATTAATATAATGAACACGAGAAAAATAAAAAATATTTTACTGAGATCAGGATATTCAATCGCTGGTAGGGTATTGAAAAAAAAATATTTTTTTCTCGTATTTGGTCCTCGGGACACCCTAATGTACATGTGTCCATGAAACTGATTTTCTGAATATTGGATAATAATTCCTTTCATATATAGCTATAAATAGTTTTTCACCATTTAAATTTAGAAAACTAAGTTAAACAAGTAAGAAATTATAGTCGGGCGAGGCCGACCATATAATACCCTACACCTTTGACAAAAATATAATGTGATTTATTTGCCATAATAAAGCATTTAAATTGAATTGTACCTTGCCTCAGATATACATACTTAAGCCGTTTATTGTTCAATAAAATTGTGGACATTTTTTACGAGATATGAGTATATTAAATATAATTATGAACTTAAAAGCCCTATTCGGCGGGTTCAGTTGTGTGGGGGCTAGGTGAAATAATGGACCGATGTAAACCATTTTCAACAGGCTTCGTTTCCGGTACCATAAAAGATCATGTGCTAAATTTCATTGAATTATCTCCAAATTTGCGACCTCTAGTTTGATTACAAAGTTTAAAAGCCCTATTCGGGGGTTCAGTTGTATGGGGGCTAGGTGAAATAATTTACCGATGTTAACCATTTTCAATAGGCTTCGTCCCTGGGATAATAGAAGATCATGTACCAAATTTCATTGAATTATCTTCAAAATTGCGACCTATAGTTTGATTACAAGGTTTACATGCACGGACGGACGGACAGACAGACGGACATAGCTAAATCGACTCAGAAAATTATTCTGAGCCGATTGATATACTTTAAGGTGGGTATAGGACCAATATTATTGTGCTTTACAAACATCAGCACAAACCCAATATACCCTCCCCACTGAAGTGGTGTAGGGTATAAAAAGTCAAATAGAAATTTGACAAATATTATTTTTATTATTAGGATCACCGCCAAAGTTATGAAAAGCATTCAAGTTGAAGTTTTTTTAATGAGTCATTAAGTGATTCTCCACTTTTTATAGCAAAATCATGATATATTTAGTATCGTTTCGAAAATGATAATAAGGTTAAAATTAGTTGAAAAAAATATTTAAGTTTTTTCTCAAAAAAAGTAGTGCTTTAGGCGACATGTAGAAGTAAATTCGAAAAAAAAATTGTACTCAACCTTTCTAAGACCCAAATTCTCAATCTCCGGTTATCGTTTAACCGATAGATATTCTATTAATTACGAAAAACTCAACCAATCCTGCGTAAATTTGTATGAATTTATTTTAAATATTAATATTAATTTATGTATTTCAAGAAACTTAAACACACTTTGCATTTGTTGCGGAAAATTTAAACTACATTTTATAAATAGAGCATAAACCACAGCACAATTAAATGCGGAAGAACATTTAATTTATCGCACAAAAAAATGTTGTCTTTAAAAATTTACAGTATAAATGTTAATAAATTTGTTTTGTTATAATATGTTATTTTATTAACACTTTTATTAAAAATTTTTTTAAATTAAAGTTCACAAACCCCATAGTGCGTATAAACAACATGCATATGTACGTTCCAACGTAACTACTTAAATACGTATAAGTATAAATGTGTCTTTGACGTTGCCAAAAGTGGGAAGAAATCAAAATAAAAAAAAAAAACAACAATACAACCGAATTATTTGAAAATTGAAATACGTTACTAGAATATTAAATGCACTTATTAACACTTAACTTAAAACAAACACAAATATTATTGAACAAAATATATACATGTGTATTTTTTTCTTGGCGACCCGAAAATTTTATTTTAAAATTTCGAAAACGTAAAATTCGTTTTATTTTTCTCTCTCTCTTGCGGCGTTTTAAATATTTTTCTTGATGTTATTTCTGTCATTCTTGTCAAACATTTTATTGCATTTTTTCGGTATTTGATTTGAGGATTAAAAGAAATGCATATTTTGGTGTATAAATGTTATTTATTCGTAGCACTCATAACTATGTGTTTATAATTTTGTGATGCACTTTATTTCTTTGAATTTAAACAAAAATAAAAATAAAAAAACATAAAGTTCAATAACCACTGTTTGTTTCAGTAATACAAAAAGTTTTTTCTTTTTTTTATAAGATTGTTATTTTTTTCAATCACAATTTCTTTTTTAGTTTTGGTTTTCTTACCCATGTTAACTATGAGCGATCTTCTTTCACTGAATGTTTGGTTTCAAATAACTTTAGTTATTTATAAAACTCAGGCTTTTATATGACGGTTTATAATAAAAAAAAAGTAACGTAAAAAAATTGAAGCAAAGTGGGTGCGTGCTATAGACGTTACAAATTTTTAACGCTTATTAAATGATTCTTTATTTTAGTCACTTTGTTTATCAACAGTTTTAAGTGACTGAGTTTGGCAGAGATTCAAAGAGTTAATTTGTTTTTTTATTATTACATATTAAATTAAAATCAGTAGATAGATATAAATATACTTAAAATCCCTGTTTCATATACAAGACTTGATCGTTTGATAAAAGGCAGTGGAAACCTCTGTCTCGTTTTTACAGGTGCTATAAGATTAGTGGCTCTTATATGTATGGAGGTAATGCTAGACATTCCTGTCGTTGACACCTAACTGTATTTCTAAAAGTCGGCTCTTAGGGTCAATGCGTCAGGCGCATAGAAATATTAACGTTACGGTTATGGTCAAGCAAGTTTTGATAAGACTTTCCAAATCAGAATGTCTATAAGATAATGCTAGGCTGCTAACTCTGTAATTTGGGAATATGCGATCTCAGTCTATAATGACTGAGGCTACTGGATGGAAAATTTTCTGCGATAAGCTTGGTCTTATGGTCCTCATCCGATTTCTTAATGTCTGCTCTGCGAGAAACGTCTGAGAACATAATCTCAAGAAGCCGACATTTTGCCTCTCTTAAGGTTCGATCATTAGTTCAAAGATATTGTCATTTGATTCACTCCCTGTTCCAACTTAGACGATACTCTGTCGAATTGATTTCGTGCAAAAGAATGAGAAATTAAAAGCGGTCGACGAATAGGTGACAGAAATACCGAAACTCAAGTGATGCAGTGGTATATTTCAAGATATATTGCCCCTTGATAAAAATGTATTAAAATTATATTGAACATTATCTGATTAGACGCATATTGGATCGAGCTACTCAAGATACAATTATTACTAAAGTTATTCAGACGAAGGATAGATCTTGGTACGCAGACTGTTAGATCGTGGTACAAGACATATTTTTAATATGGACTCTGTCAAGGATTAGTACACAGGGGGGGAAAATGATAGAAAAGTACTGAAATTGATACAAACAGTTGTCAAAAGTGAGTTTAGGTACTTACAACGAATGTGTATACAATTTAAATGACACCCAGTTATTATTTTGACAACCGCCGTTAAAATTTTGACAACGCATTGTTTTCATTGCAACAACACATTGTTATCATTGGAACAACACATTCTTGTCATTTTGATTACACTTTGTGTCATTTCAGCTATGCATCGTTGTGGTTTCGACAACGTATCGTTTTCATTTCGACAACACAACGTTCTGTTTGACAACAAAGCGTTGTAACTTTGATAACACATCGTTTTCACACCGAAACAATATAAATTAATATTATGAAAAAATTTTAAAATTTTCGTAGATAGCCGCCAGTCGTAGCCTACCACTCGTAGGTAGAATCTGTGTTTATGATATGACAACTTCATGTATTATTTATTTTATTTTTTATTTCGTCGTGTATCGTGGTATTTTTCTTGTTGATTTGACAGCTATCCGTACATAATTTGAAAACGGATGTTATTGAAAAATTATAAACACTTTGGTGTTAATTTGGTACCAAGCGTGTATAATTTTAAAACGTCTTTTTTCCCTCTGAGTATAACTAACAAATTTATAAAAAATTTGTAAGAAGTTTCTCAGAATGTTTCTCAAAGGGATTATCTAAATCATGGAGGAAAATTTAAGAGTATCACAATGGGTCAAATAGCCTCCGAGGGTCCTCATTAAATTTCTAGCTACTCATATAATCTAACCTAAGAAAACATTCGCAAACATTAATTATCTTTTCTTATCGTAAATAGACAAATGTATTCGCGTTAAAAAAGTATGATTTATTTTAACGATTTTCAATTTTCAATGAATTAATTCCTTTTAATATCTGTTATTATAGTAATGCAATAAGTAACATAATATTTATGTATATAAGTACGTGCGTATTCATTCAAGGGGTTTCCAGAAAAATTATTTCTTTGTTTAGTTTTTAATTGTTTTCAAGCATTTCCGATTCCTTTAGAATTTACATATTTCCCTCTTGTTACTTTACTTGAAGTGTCTTCTAAACAATAACAGTTTTTTTCAACATTGTTTGAATTTAACATTTAAGAAGTATTTTATACTAGAACTTGATATTAAAGAAACTGGATTCATTTCGTTTAAATATATTTTTTTTTTTGTTTTTTGCATTTCATTAAAACGGTTTTATTTTTAAATTATAAAAAAAAAGTGGGCTGGAACATCTTCACCAATCAGTTCGATAACCCAATTACTAAAGTGCCATTATATTTTTTATACGTCTTTAATGGTTGAATAAAAATAAAATATATTATTAACTTATTTAAAACTGCATAAAATGCACAACAGTAAAAAAATATATAAAATGTAATTAGTGAAGATCAGAGTCGTATTTCACTTCATGAAAGGTAAGTTATACATACATATTTGAGGGGCTTTAATGAAAAATAAGTAAGAAAGTATAGTCGGACATGCTGGATCGTTTGATTGCTTATACTAACTATAAGTATATATAAACAGATTTTTGAAAGGGATTCTATTTAGGGCTCGAATCACAAAAGGACCGATTTCAATGGAATTTATTGTAACGATTTTCTCATTTGTTAGCTTGGGGTCTTTATCTGAATTTCCGTATAATAAACGAAGAACACATTTATTGTTTCAGAAAGTAATACTAATCCTTTTACCTACAAGTAACAATGACATGTTAATGTTTCAGACTTTTCATCTGATGAAAAGTTAAGCGCTAGAACTTCGTCGAATTATTTTTTATTACTACCCCAAGTTTAAGGGATATAATTCAGAACTTTACAGCTCAACATTGCTGGAATTATTTATAAAACTATTAATATTTAATTAATCACTCTCATCTTCATTTCAAATTCTATTGTAATAAAATAAACATAAACAAATCCTTTCATTTCCGGAATTTCTCATTCTTAAAAGACATAGTATATTCCCCGATTTTAATTATATGAACGTATTTTCTTCCGTCATAAGATGTTTCTTTATAAGTACGTATTAACATTTTATTAAATAAATCGATGCTGTTTTGCAAAATTTGTTTTTTTTTTTTTAAATTAATATTTACATATTGCTATCACAATTGAATAAAATTAATAAATCTATTATATTATTTAATAAATCTATAAAATACTTGTTTATACACATTCTGATAATACGTATAATAAAAATATTAATTAATTGTAATTAATCACGACCGAAGCGTACATCAATATCGTAAATTAATTTATCATCGGCTGCTGTGGAAGAAGCTGGAACTGATGATGGTGTGGTAACTACTGTGGGTCTGTTAGTAGTTAATTTGGGAGCGACATAAACAGCAGGAGTGGTTAAAGGCGGCTGTTGAACTATAAATGGTCGTGGTGTCGTTAAGGGAGGCTGTTGTACAATGAAAGGTTTAGGTGTAGTTGCTGGCACAATCCAAGGATTTATAAAATCTTTATCGTAGACCGGTGGTGGTGGAAATCGTCTTGGAGGTTCTAATAAGTAGTTATTAGTTTTTTTTTAAATATCATGTCTAACAATAAAATAAACTGATAAATTTACCATGTGGTGGACTGTAGGGATGACCATGTGGATGATCATGATAAGGCCCGGTAGGATGACCATGCGGATAACCTTGCTTCTTAGCTTGACCCGGGGGTATGCCATGAGGATGATGTGGATGCGCAGAATGAAATATTTCTCCACTAAACTCTTCCGATGAGTCCGGATAATGATAACCATCTGAAAGACCAAAGGCGTGTGGTGGCAATTTTCGTTTTCCATTACCCCTTCCATGTCCTCTACCTCTTGTCTGATGTTTATAACGTATTTGTGGTGAAACATAAAATTCTGAACTAGGCCAAAAATTCGAATAGCTTGATGATTCTTCGGCAATCAGATCATATGCCGGATTTATGCTAAAATATTTTCGGAATTGACATTTTGCATACTATGTATTTAACATTAATAATTAAGCTAGTTTTAAACCTTTTGTCTTATCTTTTGAGCAAAAAAACAACAAAAACGTGCATTTTGAAAAAATAGGGGAAAATCAGGTAGCAAATATTGAAAAAAAAACTTATTCTTAATTTAAAAAATATTTTTTTTTTTTGATATAAGGGCGTTTCCACCGAAAAGTCTACTTTTGTCACATCACGTCATACACCATTCACTGCCTATATCTAAGGAAAATATTTATATATTTATATTTAAATTATTTATATTTTTATGTAAAGCTCTATTAGCTTTATACATAGGATAATGTAAGGACCAATCAAAAGGAATGGTCCTAAGATATTGTCAATTAATGTGCATGACGTGACATGACAAAAAATATACTTTTCTGTGGAAATGCCCATTTATCCCACTAGCACCCCATTAAGGGACTATAAAGCCCTTAAAGGAAATTGTATAAGCTTTTACCTGAGCAAAAAAAGAGAGTTAAAAAAAACAATGAAGAAATATCTATCTGAACTTCTTTGGGCAATTTTTGCTAGGACCAAAGTTACACTCATTTGAATAAAACCTTGTATAACCAAAATGTCCAACTTTGACCTCCTTTAAGTCCGGCAGTTCTTGACCGATAGAGCTGAATTTGTGTCAGGTCTACTATCCAGTAGTACTAACCTTGGTGCAAATTTCATCCAAAACGGAAGATATCGATTTTAAAAGCTGGGTCACTTGACACGAAATTGCCCATATATAGGTAGGGCTAATTATAGACCGATTCTCATAGCTTTATTCGTATTTTTTAGCCAGTTATTTATGAGAGTTAATGCAATTTTCTGAAAGGGTTGTTGAGGCTAGTTTCAAATGAGTACCGATTTTCTCTATGCTTTATAGTATAACTTTTATAACATTTTAGTGCAATGTCCTTCTATCCGAAATTTTCGAAAAAAGGTCACAGGTCATAATAATGAATATA